TCCAGGAGTTCAAAGAGTTGAAAATGCTTTAGTATGGATAAATTTTGCTTTGGCCTTTGATCTCATGGTCTCATTCCTATCTAAGATATTTCCTCAACTCTGCCACCTAAAAAAAATAAATAAATAAGAGAAGCTCGGAGAAGGAGAAACTTATGTTTTTGCTAGTGATCGAGTTATGTGAGTGACAATAGTGGACAATTGTAACTTCTTTGTTTAAAAAAAAAAAAAAAAATAGGAGGGGAAGTTTGTAGTGTTTGATAGGAATTGCTGAAGTCTGGTTTAATTGTCACAGTTGTATACAATTAGCTTCTGTCAACCTCTGTTCTTTCTGAAAGCTCCCATCATGTTTCATTTCCTGTTTCTTTTTCAACTTTTGCGTGGTTGTTGTATTACTGATGATAGTGACTTTTCCCTATGGCATACAGGCAAAAAAAATTATTGATCCCCAATATGACAAGCTTCCACTACATGGACTTGGGAAGGACTATTCTTCAAATTGGTGGAAAGCACTTGGTTACCAATTAATTTCTTCTGGTATATGAGGACACACTTATCAATTATAGTGAACTGTAATTAATGCACAACAAGATCTTTACAAATTATTAATGCTCTATCAATTGGTCTCATTGCTCTAAGTATAATGTTTGACTTTTTAATACTTTAGGCATATGAATGCTTAAGAAATTCACGAATTCTTATATGTTACATCTAGGGGTAGTTTTATAAGTTGGACTGTTGGGTGTTAACCATGTAATGGGCACATTGCCTAGGATTGTAGCTTGACATGAACTTTCTACCAGTAGAATGTGGAACCTACTGTAAGGTTCAGATTAGTGGGTTCTGCCTTCCATATATCTGTTTATTACTGTACCCTTGGTGAGTTCCATTGGGTTATTTTGTCATTCAGTTGAAAATTTTGTTACACTTTTGCTCCATAAAATGTAGAGTCTGGGTTGTATGACTGACATGTTTTGAAACTTGATACCTCATATATCATTTAAATAAGAGTTTACTAGGTTAGCGCTATCCTCTTTACCATTACATTGAGGTGACAATTTCACATCCCTCAGAATCATTGGTATTTGGATTGTTTTAGCTTGCAAAGGATGTGATATAACTTTTACTAGGACATACATATATCTATTGATGGATTTAATTTCATTCACTATGCATCTGTAGAATTTTTAGAAGTCTTAGCTACATAGTTACAACTGATAAGTAGTGAGACTGAGAAATAAGCAGTTTGTTTTATTAACTACATAAGTTCATTGTCATTGATTGTTCATCTGATTTATATGTTAAGGCTTCATGTATTCAGTTCTTGCCCTAAATGGAATTTAATTTCTCTGCATAATACAGGTTATTTGATGGAAACAGTAAATGACATATACAGAACTGTAAGGTACGGTGTTCTCTCATTTATACTGTTTTTGTAAAACGTAACACTTTATAATGAATATTTTCCAAGTCTATGCTTTTTAATGATATTGGATGCCATCAGAAAATGACACTTTTCTGTCATTGATAATAGGTCCTTTCTCTTCTTTTTTTTAAATTACTTTTACAAAACTCGAAAAAGAAATTGATAGAATTTTTTTTCTCATGCATCAGTGTTAGTCCAAAAGGGTACCAATTTCTTAGTTCTGCTGGGCCTGATCATCAAGCACCCCTAATCTTGCCAGTGACCAGTGAAATGGTCGATGATGAGGACAATAAACATGCCTCAGGAGAAGTTGGAGAAATTAAAAGTTTGGCTACTGTGGAATGTGAAGGATTTTCAGAGGTTGGTAATTTCAGCACTATTATGTTCATTGACCTCAAATATTCGATCTTTTCATCGTTGTCTGTTGTCATCCTTGACTGTATAAATTGAGTCATTGAGAAAAGGTTGGCATCAGATCTGCCCAAAGAAGTTTCTTGTTTTGCATGCCTTAACAAACACGCTACAACCATGGAAAGTTAAAAACATAATCTCTTTTCTTGACAAATCTAGTAAATCATCCTTGTCCTTTTTATTCAGTAGTTTTTCCTTTCCTTCAGCTTCCTTTGAAACGTTGCCAGAAAAATTTAGATGACTGAACCAGTGAGGCATGTGTACTTGAAAAACAACATAAAGTTGTTATGGTTGATCTTGGCATATTGATAAATGTGGGTCCAAAGTTTTTCTTTCACATGTTTGTTTCGCATCTCCCTGTTTTATTATTTGGTCATTCTTACTTTTACCTTCTTTGTGCATTTTTATTGCTCTCAGGCTGAGAAACAACTCTACCACCTGCTTCTAGAAGAGAGAAGGAAGCTTGCAAGAGCCATTGGAACTGCACCGTAGGATATCTTTTTAGTTATATAATCAAGGCGACCAATCTAAAATAATTTATTCAATAATTTGTCTAGAAAGCTTTTTCTTTTAACCAAACATTGAGTTTCATCCATATTTTTCTCTTTGCAGATATGCTATTTGTGGTGATCAAACGATCAAAAAAATTGCTTTAACAAGACCATCTACCAAAGCAAGGTTGGCAAACATTGATGGTGTCAATCAGGTATGTCTTGTAGGGGGCAATAGCAAAGCTTTCTGTATATATGACTATCACCAGTGCGATAGCGAATCATTTCTTAACCAGGATCTTAGCTTTGAGTAGCAAACTAATTAAGCCCTCGTAGTTAAACAATTTCTTTTCAAAATTGCAATTCTTAACTATGAGGTTTTGATACGTTATCAAAGTTTCACATTTATGTGAAACAGGTTTGGAGACTGATACGTCTTTTGAGTTCTGCCACACTTTTACTTATGGCTTCTAGTGCTATCCGGAATATTTACTGGACATGGGCACAACTAACTAGCCAAAAGTTCTTGGGCAGGGTTGAACACTACAGTGCCTTGCCAATGCAAATAATAATAATTATAAACTCACAGTATATTAAATAATCTTACTGGAGTAACATGGAATTTCTACACATGCTTTAATGCATGGTTCAATTCAATACTAGAAGCATTCTTTCTGCAAGAGTTGAATTTTGTAAATGCCTGAATGTTTTTCAAATGCCTCAAAAGCAGATCAAATGTAGAGAAGTGTTGTACTTCTAAGCAAGAGAGTACATAATATGCACTAAACTTCTGCTTGTCCTTAACAATATCCTGGTTCTGTTTCCTTCACGGAAAAAACAGTTGGTTGGGCTCTCATTCCACCTAGTCATAGCTTAGTGCATCCTGCAATTTTTATATATAATTGAAGATTCAATGACTTCATCCGAGAAAAAATATAAAAGGAACCTTTTTTTTTTTCATTTAACTTTTCCTGCTCTTTCAACTTTTTCTAATATATATGAAGGCTAAATGTCAACTTTATATATGTTGTAGCACCTTGTAGTGGCACATGGAAACAATTTTCTGCGTATCATCCAGGATCTATCACAAGGACTAAATCTTACGTTGGATGGAGAGGCAACTGTACAAACTGCTGTTACAAGAAAAGTCTATCCAGTATCCAACCAACCAAAAAAGTTAACGCCAGCAAAGTTTGAAGCTTGGAAGATGTGGCATGAAGAGGGTCTCTCAATTCGGAAAATTGCTGTATGCTTTTCAATATTCAGTATTTTCTACGGTTTATTACCTTTCTTTCATGCTTCGATCCTATGTAACTTTCAATTTTTTCAATCATAGAACTTCCCTGGTAGACCTGCTCCTATTAAAGAGCAGACTGTCCATGAATATCTGATGGACGCTGCTCAAGAAGGATGTGAAATTGATTGGATCAGATTATGCGACGAGGTTGGGCTGACGCGTAAAGTTTTCTCAGATATTCAGTGTGCCATTTCAAAGGTTGGCTCTAGTGAAAAGTTGAAGCCTATCAAAGAAGAATTACCAGAAGATGTGAGCTTCAAAACCTTTCCCTTGTTTTGGGAGTTCTCGTTTAATTATGGTGATTAATGTGTCTGTGACTCTTGAATCTATTTTTATATGCACTTAAGACATATATACAGGCCATTTAGTTCCAGAATCTGATTGAAACTGTTTGACTATGCCAGATAAGTTATGGACACATCAAGACTTGCCTGGCAATGCAAAAGTATGGAATATCTCTGGAAGTGATTCCATCTAACCTCCACGACGCACAAAAAGCTGGTCATCTTTCAAACAAGGAAACAGAATTGTCACCATGTTCTACTCGTACATCCCCCATGGAAGGACCGTGTGAAGCTGAAACCTTGGTCCAAAACTCAGTTGCAACCTTGGGTGAAAATGAAGAAACTGCTTCCGTTCCCTTTACCTGGGGACAAACAGTAAAGCTACCCAAAGTACATTTTGAGGATGCACTCTCAAAGAAACGCCAAAAACTAAGTAGTCCAGATGACGGAAATTCTATTGCATTGAAGGCAACAGAGAGTTCCTTATTCAATTGGCTTAAGAACAAAGATGGGGTAAGTCAACTTAGTCAAATGAAAATATTTATTATCCTCACTCTTTGACAGCATGGCAATGTAAAAACTAAGTAACAAAAACGTGAAATGCTTTGCAGGTTACTCTCGCAGAGATTTTGGAGCACTTCTATGGATCTGAAGAGCAATCTGTCATTGATCTACTCAGTTGTCTTGAAGGTGACTTTCTGATATATAGAAAGAACAACATGTATATGATCATCTAATTCTCCTTTTGTTCTTTTTCTTTTTTTTAAGGTTGTCAAATTGCTTAATGGACTTGCCCTTTGAAACATGTTTTGGTTACTTGATAGCGAGAGCCAATATGATTATAATTTATTTGCAATGTTCAGCAGCTGCTGTTCGTTCTTTCCCTTTTCAGTAGACCTGAAATTTGAACTCGATATGAAAATAACACAACAATCTAAAGTTAGAAAAGGGTAAACTGTTTGAATCACATTTCACATCTCTAAAACTCGTCTGATCCGTATCCGTACAAGTGGTCATACTTGTATCAAAGATGTGGTTCATAATGTGATCCCCTATAACATACCCAAGGCAAGGAAAAAAATAATGATAGAAAGTAATGAGCAATACGGGATTTGATACAGGCAGCATTGTGCATTCTTACCAATAAGAGAATACAGTGGATGCAACTAGTTAAGCAAAGCAGTATCCATTACATTCTTCCTAGTAAAAGCAGAAGCTGCATGACATTTAGTGCCAAATAATTGAAGGGTAGGTCAGAAACAACGGGTTAAATTAAAAAATTATGGGCCCTACCTACATAAAAACAGGAGAGGCCAGATTGTAACCAACAGAAGTGTTAATAACCTCCTGCGTTTTTTCCCAACCCCCGCCAAAAAAATCAAAATGTAAAGTGTTACTCCCTATGCAAAGCATCGTCCAGCTCCACTTCCATGCCTACCCGATTCTTAATCGAGGCACTCGCATGTAGAGGTGTGCCGCATTTTTTCTGTATCTCTTTGAATCTTTCAACATCAAAATTATGCCTCTTGATGAGTTTCCTCTGCCTCCTGAGAAAAAGCCTCTTCATCAGATCTTGGTAAGTCGGATCTCTTGAAGTGATCAAGAAGTAAGCATAGCCTATGCCTATGCAAGTTGTTGTTGTGAAATATGCAAGTGGTTCCACTACATCCCACGAGAAGTCCCAATATGTTAGCCTGAAAAAGAGCCCGAGCTGTGCCACAACTAGCACCAGACCAGACCAGAGAATGCGCCGAACCTGCTTATGTGCCTGCACATCAATTTCTTCCTTCTTCTCCTGCAGCACCTTTAACTCCTCCCACATGGGGTCATCTTCAGGAGTCAGGACAAGGGGTACTGCTCTTTGAACCAGCTCCACAACCTGAACATTTAGGAATGAAATGGAGCAGCACGAGTCAACATAACGTAAGGCCTTCGAAAATATATATTTGTATTTAATTAAACTCTCATGACTAGCTCAAATTCTTAATTCTCATCTTTTAAAAACACTAGACCACAACACGGACATAAACGTAAGAAAACAGGGAAAACCAATAAATTAAGGTTGCATATTGCATTTGGCTGGTACAAGTTATAGTGGAACCAGTAGCCAGCACCAAAGCACAGATGACAAACAAACTTAACAAATAATTTGCAACCACACGGCGTTCAACTCTGTAATGATGTCAAGAACATAGAACTAGTTAGAAGTAAAAATTCTGGATACCTAGCCATAGGTGCATGGCTATGCACCTCCATTCAAATGCAAACACTTCAGCCTTGGAAAGTACCCAAGCAGTTTAACCAAGACTCTTCAAAATCTTCTTCATTACGTCCAGCTGGTAGGATTTTCTTAAGCAATTTGAAATCATATGGAACCCTTAATATGAGGAGAAGAACAACGAAAAATGGGTAAATGGACTTGCATTCATCTAATTATCGAATTGGAAGTGATTAGAGCAAGCACTGATGGTGAAGTACAGAAGTAAAGTAGCCAGTATAGTAAATAAATTTTGTTAATTATTTTCCATAGAAGGTTTTTTTTTTGGTCGATTTTCCATAGAAGGTAAAATGAAATATGTCAATGGCTAGACCAATGAACTAAATGAGGTCAGTAAAGATACCAAAATGATGCAGGGATGAATACAAAAGGACAATGCAAGCACAGATCATAATGTTGTGGAATATTACTTATCCATATCCAAAACCAAATTACTCTTTTCCTAAATCCAAAAAAACCAAACAGAATAGATCCTGTAATTGGTATTGGAATCTCTGCATTAGACTTGAAAAATGAGAAGTCTAAACACCACACAAAACTGCCAAAGTACTAACGTAAAAATTCAAAATCACAATCACAGACGTGGAACAATAGAAGCTAAAAGCACATAGATTGAACCCCAAAAGAATTATCAAAATACTATGTTGCGTTTGGTGAATACAAAAAAACTGAGCAAGAAGAAAAAGAAGACAAGTTGCTGGGATCTGCTCAAATTCCGAAGCACAGGGGGAAACCATAGGAACCTCTTTATAGTCAGAGATTTATTTGAGCTTTTTGATGGGATACTAAGACCTAACAGGGTAGTTAATTAACACTAAAACCTGTTGCATCTCCTCCTACGCTTGGTAGTATTGAATTTATAAAGTTTTCATCTTTGAAAATAATTCTCATTTAGTTTCCTTTTCCTTCAATCTGTAGGTCTAAAGAGATAAAGACCCAACAGGTGATCCTCTGTGCACTTGATAATCACGTAATCACAGCTTTAAAATTTAAAGCATCAACGTAAAAACCGAAAAGGTCAAGGGAATAATGGGGAAAAGAATTGAAGAGGGGCCAGCCAGAGGGCCAACCAAAGCAAATACGGATAAAAGTGTCCCAAACCCTTTTTCCAAGCGGCGAAGGCATCACTCAGTGTTCTTAAAACTAAAAGGGCCAATGAGAAAAGCATAATTTGACATAAGTTGAAAGTTAAATTTCGTTTAAGCTATAAATTAGAACTAGTTGGAGGTGGCATACCCTATTAGGATGAAGGAGGACCTTGTCCCGAAAGAGAAGGATTACACCAGCCTCATCAAGCACTCGAGCAAAAGCTGCAGCCTCCTCTGGAGATCTGGCAACCCCAATGCTTTGACAGGCTTCAATAAGATCAGAATATGGTATGGCCTCTTTTCCTTCAGCACCAAGCCTCATCTTCAAAGCCTCCACATTGACAAGCCTCATCAGCCTCTTGGCCTCTGCAAAAGATATGGTCTCTCCTCCTCCTCCTCTGTTGATCTCTCCTCCTCCATTGAAATCATCAGAAGATGACAGTGTCCTTCTGGGTACAAGTGATGATGAAGATATTGCCGGATTTGTCAACAACCCACATTCTTGTTTTGCAAAACCCTTTAATCCAAACACCTGCCCAATACATGGGTAGGGGCTGTTGGGCTTCCCAAGGTGGTTGCTACCAACCACTTGCTTCATCACCATACCACTGCTTCTCCACCATCTCCACATTCTGTCCAAAGATTTAACCTTTCACTCACCTGTCTGTCAACTCACAGCTATATATATGTGTATATATCGCCTATTGCCCTATTGCCTATTGCATATCCCAATTTATGGCTGCCAATCCATCAATTGGTTTTGGGATTTTCATGATCTCCGATTTGGAGTTGTGGTCTGAAAACAAAGAAGGAAAGACAAACAATCTTTAGTTAAAACAAGCCATGGGGATAGTTGAATAAATAATAAAGAGGGTAGGCGAGTAAGGTAAGGCAAAAACACTGCAGTTTACAAGGCAAGGAAGCAAAAACGGACCGCCAAAAACGTTGGTCCGTATGTTTTCCCCTTGCAAAGAAAAAACCTAAAAAATTGGGTCTTGCTTTTATGATTTTTGTTTTGGTTGGTGTGTCGATAAATATAGCATCCAATATGGACTCTCTGTCTCTGTCTCTGGTTCAACGTTCCAACTAACAGCCTCGGCCTCTCACGCACAAATTACACACAAAACACACTGAAACTTTGACACTGACCCAAATCGTATAGGAAGATGTATTGGATTCGGGCTTGGAAAGATGGAAAGTTGGAAGCTTTATCTTATGTGCACAATGCACAGCGCACCGACCAAGAAGTTTCTCCTCTTTTTCTTTTTTTAACTGGGTTTGGGTTTTGGTTTTTGTGTGTGGTGGGCTCTGCTTTTCTCACCCCTTCCTATGCGGCGCTTGCAACCGACTTTCGCTTTCTTACATGACATGACTTACCGTTTTCGATCGTATAATTATTACTTTTTTCCAAATCTACGGGAAAACTTTTATTTTCTTAACACTTTCTTTTTCTTTCTCAGTCAGAACTTTCTTAATAATATTAACTCTTTCAATTTCATTATTTTATCATCTGAGAAAAAGGAAAGTGTAAATGTGAGTTAGGTCAGTTAGTCAAGATTAATTCTTTCAATTTCATTATTTTCTCAACAACATAAAAAGGCAAAATGCAGATGTGAATTAAGTCAGTTGGTGAGAACAGTAAACCCGCCTTCTTAATTTATTATAATTTAAACAATTGCTTTGTTAAAAAATAAGGGAAAGTAATAGTTAATAAATTGAGATACAGATCCCCTTGCTTATAAATTCTACTTAAATCTTGCCCTTCTTTTATAAAATATTTGATCAGCCCCACGTGCATATAAATTATAATGCAACCTCCAAAAGTAGAGAAATTTTTATATGTTTCAGGTACACCACGTGACTGGTGTACCATCCAATAAACATAGGACATGTGGAATTATTGTCTAACATACTGCATTTCTTTTTATAACATGTGCCGGGCTGCATTGCAAATATTCCATATGTCTTTCGTCTATTGGATGGTACACCAGCAACGTGGTGTACCCAAAACACCCAAAAGTTACTCCCAAAAGTGTTACCTTTATTTACAAATATAATCAAATAGTTGCGTTTTTATGCACTAGGGGAAAGATGTTTGAGCACCATTGACTTTGCTTCAGAAATGAGTGGATGATAGTTTTCATAAAACGAAGCCTACCACTCCTGGCACTCACTACTTCTGGTATTTGAATGAGTATTTCAGGGGAAACCGCATTTCAAGCCCTGGCAGGATGAAAGCCTTCAATGTCATGAAAGTTGGCTGTTCATACATTCAACATCGTGACTTTTATCAATTCTCTTAAACATCCATATCCATGCATCCCCTTTTGTTCTTTTGACATCATATCAGGGTCATGTTCCATTGAAAATGTGAAAACAAATCTTGCAAATCCAATGAATGTTGTGATAGAAGTTTATGTACAAAATCAAATATCACACAAATGAAACCCCTGAAAAGATAATCATATTTATCCACATGTATTTGTTTTTCTATTCATCTATCAAATTCAATCAAGAAACATAATGGGAAAAAGACACTGGGGACTATAATGTACATTTGGGTAAGTCAAGTTCCCGTCTTCAAGAGAGAGTAGGATCACTGACTGTGAGTGGCCTTCGAAACAGTTTTAATTAAACCTTTAACAATCTTCCAAAACCAAACGAGATTCATTACTGCTAACACAGGAGGCACCACGAGCAAGCTGTAAAAGCCCAAAGGGAAAATTGTCTTGACCTGAAACAATTCAGAGATAATAAGTACAAAGCTTTTGTTTTCCATATCTAGCTCTTTCTTTTTATAGGAGGACTATACAGCAATAACTCACTTGATCAAAATGGATAAACATGTGGATGAAAAAGTAAATGAACAAAAGAATCCTTGCAACCTGAATGGCATGCATCGAAGGAAGTCGATTGTGTTAGACATAATAAATTATGTTTAGTTGAAGCAATGAAGTAAATTATGAATATATGTATTCATCACAATGCAATACAGCTAAAAGGAACTGATATTTTAAGTTAGACATTACCAGCCACCCCAGGAACAATGCTACACCATTGATGACGTACAGATTAGAGTTCTTCTTACCAGCAACATCTAAGTACCTGAGTATGCAATTACATAAATTATCCAATATTGACAACCAATAACAAGGGAATTTAGGGATATCTCAGTGTTAAAATTACCATCTCAAGTTCACGAAAGGAGTTGTGCTCTCAGAGAACAGAACCATTAGTATGTAAATCTGCCCTTTTCCACTTACAAGGGAGAGAAAGATTGAGAACATAGATAGTGCATGGTGCAAAACCTAAACAAGATGAATCAGATGAACGTAATGGTACCAGTTTATTTGGACTTCGCCTTGCATATTAAAATTTGATAGGTAATATAATTAATCTCCAAAAATTGATCAAATCATGATACTTATTCAACTGGTGCATCAAAATGCAATTTTCTCCCAACTTCACCATATGAAGTTCGGGGCAAGAAATATTGTTTTAGGTTTGAGGGAAATGCCCTATAAGACATAATGGAGCAGAGATTATTATTATGCATATCAAGCAGGCATTATCCTTCCGCCTACGTACTTACATACTCCAGTCCACCTAAAGCAGGAAAATGCCAAAATATCATTCCCAAGTCTGCCAGAAAATATCCAATGGAGATCTACAAAAAGTACCCAAATATAGAAGAAGAAAAAAATTCAGTTACAACAATACGAGAATATCACATAGTGTGTTACACTATCTCACATCCAACAAAATTGTAAATTACCTTAATTTTGGATCTAATCTCAAAATAAACAAGGAAAAGAAAATGAAGAAACAAGAGCCTCTTATTACTTCCATAATATGATTAGTCCTCTTCACAGGGATACATATGAGTCACTTATGGTTTGAGGAAACTATCGTCATGTATATAGCAATGAAGATTCAACATGAAGAATAGGGACTGCAAGTTTTGGCACCACCTGAAAACTCAACTCAAACCAATCTTCCAGTAACAGGTTCATTGTTGGCCTGATTGTATTTAGGTTTAATTTTGGTCAACCAACCAAGCAGATATAATCGACATAAGATGTTAATCTTGAGCTGCCTAACCCATGTGCACAAACATGCGTAGACAAAGTAAAATGTAATTTTTCTGCATTAGTGAAAAAATTAATTAGAAGTTAATTTAGCTCAAAGAAAACAAATCAAAGTAATTGAATTCGGTTTTCAGTCACACTAAATAAATAAAAAAGGAAAAAAAAATCAAATTGGGTTTAAAAAGGATGCAAAGAAAACCAGCACAAGGTTGAAATGGGTAGACGGTCGCAGATACAAAATGCAATATAGTATAAATCACATGTTGCAGCACATCCAATCCATTAAAGATTCATAAGCAAAGACACCTAAAATTTGGATGCACATGAACAAATTATAGAAATTAAGCCATGAATGATGTTTCTTTCTGCATCTGCTTACCCCTAATGTTGTATCTGACAAAGTAGATCTTCTACTAATGATTAGCTCATCACGATTATCCTCATGAAAAGTATCAGACAACAGTAAGAGGTAAAAAGATGAAAATGCTACAGCAATAGCATGAACAGTTGAGAACCCCCTGTACATGGAGGAAAAACGAAAGAAAAGGCATCAATACTTGTGTTTTTGAAGAAAAACAAGTTCAATGTGGTGAAATCTAGGCAGATATAAATATGTGACATGCAAAAGATATTCACCGGTTGTTCCATTCAACTCTTTGTGCTTTGCTCAGTTTGTGATATCCCTCGAAGCTAAGAAGGCTGATAAGACGTGTTAATCTGTAAACCTTCAAGAGAGAAATTTCATCAAATGGAAAATTAAGAAGGAAAAAAAAGGAAATATTATTTTGGATAATTATTTTTGAAATTGAAGTTTGATTTTAGTGAAAATAAAAAAATGATATTAAAATGTCAAAAGTCATAAGATGCATTCTTATTTTCGTTCAAGATAAACAAAATCCAAATCCGGAGAAAAGAGAAGAAGAAGAATAATACATTGCACATATAAGATCAAAATAACTACACCTACTTAATAAAAAATCTTAGGAAAAGAACCTAGTGGTTGGAGCAATCAAAACATAACAACCAGATCTAATCTATCCTCTCATACAACACTCACATTAAAACTTATCCAAAAGAATCATCGAAAACTTGTTTTTATTTTTATTTCCCATTCCACATATTGAAACCATAGTGGCATGTATCTAAATGCATGCTCTTGAATCATGATTTCTTCTTTAATCCTTAAAGACAAGAGACCAAACTTTACTTTGAACATCGAAAACAATGACACTACGAAATTCACCCTGAAATGCTCATTGAAGCTTTTGCTATATTTTAACATAAGCCAAATCTAGGAATATGGTCAGAAAACTAAATGCAAATGGATTTGAAGGGTCATCATAGACAAAATTAAAGCCAGATATCAGTTCACTTTTGAATTTGGGGGCATGTTTCAGCGACTGTTAACCGAAGGGTTTGAAGAAAGAAAAGTTTCATGCCAGCAGTAAACACTAACTCGGAGATTGGTACTTACAATATTGCAGAGAATGATGCCAATGGAGGCAGATGCCAGCCAGTGAAATTCTTCGCTAAGGCTGGCATAGCCAGTGATAGAGGATATTAAACCAAGGGGAAAAGGAAATCCCACCATACTGCCTTGTTGGATTATCCACTTACACTCTGCCAAACATGAAGATGAGTTGAGTTGAGATCAAAACCAATTTCACATACACAACAAAAATGCAGGTGGACTCCTAGTTCTTGATAACAACTCTAAAGCTTTCAACTTTTTAAAGAATTAAAAACAAAAATAATAAAATAATAATAACCCTTTAAAAAACAGCCTACATTAATTTCAATTCAAAGGCTAAAGAAGCTCAGTTAGCAATTAGCAGCAGCAAAGTCGTCTTCTTCTGCTTCTTACAGATAGAAATCAAGAGGAGGACCAACCAGTCAAACAAAGGCCAAAAAATAATAATAATAACAATAAT